CTTGATTTTATACACAACTTGCCAGGCCAAGGGATTAGGACACCTGATTCTGATCATTTGAATGGGTGAGCGAATACTTTTGGTAATATAGTGTATATGGATGTAGTGAGGGAGGACATGCAGATAGTTGGAGTCAGAGGAGAAGATACAGAAAAAGGGACAAAGCCGAAAGAAAAAGAAGAAGAAGTTTTAAGATTAAATCAAATCCATATTCTTTTTACATCCTCTGTATGAAAAACTGTCAAAAGATGAATATTCATAAGCGCTGAGTTTATCTTTGGAGACAGATTTCATAAAATAAAGTATATACTTCCAATCTTATAGATATCATGTTTGGATCCTAGTGGATTTGCATCTTCAAAATCATCACAGAATATCTGTATTTGGAGAGTTTGTTTTATTTAGAGAAGAGGGGGTGATCTTTAAAATAACTCCCATCACAGAAATCTTTATAAAACTTAGTATTTTCATAGGGTGCAAAATATGATTTAAAAGCTCTGTTGTTGAATACAAACTTCAGCATTTCCAACAGAGGAATGTACACAGATTTGTCTGTCACAGGAACCTGATCGTATGTGCCAGTGGTTCGATTCCTTCTGGTGTTATACCTCACCCCTAGAGCGACCTCAACAGGTTCTACAAGACCCAGTTTCTCACTGAAATGGTTTTTCCATTTTGTCTCAGTGTTCAGTTTGCTAAATGGATTTTCAAGGATTCATCAAATTTTGTTCTTATGTCCTCAACATTGGGGAGCAATTTTACAACATCATCTTTCACATTTGAATCTAGATCCTCTACAAACTTCTCCATATTTTCAACAGTCTTTATGACATTAGTAACCACACCACAGCTTAGGAGTTTTGCAATAAGGGATGCACACATTTCTTGGGTATGTTGCCTAGTCTCATTACAGCTTTGAGAATTCACTGGTTGCTCTGAAATTAAAGCTGACATCGTTTGCTGATAAGATACATCAACTGAGGGAGTGACAGATTCATTATCAATTTGAACTAGACTATGGAAGGACTATGCTTGGAATGGAAATGTTTCCTGAATCCAGAAAAAGGGGAAAATCTCTGACGGCCTCCATTCTGGTCACACACCAAATGAAACTTTTTGCCGGGAATAAAGGCATGTGTAAGTTTGAGATGATGCACCAACTGCTGGATGGTGACAAACGTAGACTGGCAAACAAAGCAGTTATACATCACAAGGTGAGTTGAGGAGCTTTGCCCTGAGGTCCTTGACTCTGGGAGTTTCATGAGAAAGCCCCACATCAATATTACAGATGGTGGTTTGCACAAATGTGTACAGGCTGTTTAAGGCCTGGTCATAGGAGATGCCAGACACATAATGTGTCTTGAACAGTTCATCAAAGGCTGACAGGGAAGACCTGGCCTTGCAGGGAAGGAGCTCCCCAACCATTGCAATGTATCATGGATGTTTTTTCTTGTGGGGCTGGGCTGGACCAGAGTGCTCTCGTAGGCTTCGACCTGACTGCAAGATAACACAAAAGTATTACTACACTATACATCTTTTTTTTATGGATAAGTCAGACAGAAATCTGTTAGCACAGTTGGAGGATAACTTAAAAAAAAAGAAAGAAAATAAAATATATTTGTTAATTGCTATTTATTATATTATAAAAATGTTTTTATGTATTGCTAATTATATTTATAAATTTATTGTATAAATGTGTTTGTATTTATTGCTATTTATATTTATACATTAGTTGTGGAACAGTTTGTCTAAATAGGGGAATTATGGAAGAACAGATTAAGTAAACCCTCTTAACTATATTCTTAGATCCAGATATTTCCTGACTGAGATTTACTGAATCTAGTATGTTGTTGTGCTATCCCATCGTGTGAAAATCCACTTGGTTAAGTTCCTTTGTATCAAGAGAAATGATAATTGGTCAAAACATTCATTTTTTTTGGAATGTGGATTCCCCTCGTTGATATTGGATGGTTTCAAAATGGAAATCAGGATACACTGACCTTATGAAACTTCACTACGTGATCCACAGCTTCCGGGATATTGATCTTCATGGCTCCCTTCTTTCCACTTGGTGGCAGGAGGTAGACCAGCAGGAGAACTGAGGCCATGTCACTATCCCAACATGAGAAGAGGGGAGGAGAAACTCTGATTTCAGCATGTGATGCACCTGACAAATCAATATAAACATTCATAAGGCTCTTGAATTTTATCACCACAACCACGTCAGTCAACACACTAAGACAACATTTGAAATGGTGGGCAGATGGGCATTCATTTATGTCAATTACCTGGGACCTCCTTATCCCCATCCTCATCAGGGTTCTTGTCTGCAGACTAAATGACATAGTCAAGCTGGGAGGTCTTACTGAGTTTTTTGGCTTGCTCAATGATTTTCACCTTCAGGAGTGTACCCCATTTCTCCAAGAATTTTGATGAAGTCTCTGCTCCAAACTACAGCTCAAAGTCTTGTGGAACCTAAAGAGGAGGAAGTGCAAGTGCATGTGTACTTGATGGTGGTGGCAATGGAAGGAAGTTACCACTTTCATCTTTACAAAGCTGTTATTAAAGGAAAAAAACATTATCATCCTAATTAATGTGAACTTACAAAGCCTTTTGTGTCAAGGAATCTTGGGAAAACTGTAAGCACTGTGCTGCATCGCTCTGGATCATGGATCAACTTCTGTCTGTGCTGGAAGGTTGTTCTCATTTTCATGAAGATCTGTTCTTTATCTGTGGTGTGTTTCAATAGAGTTATGGCCTCGCAGCACTGGTCTCCCTCCAGCTGTTGGTCTTTAGTCACTTCCCTCTCCAACTCCAACTCCAACTCTGATCCGCTGCTGTCTGAGGTTTGAGAGCTCCTTCTCCGAACTTTACTGCTACTGCTGAGTTCTCGCTGTGTGTTTTTAAGCTTCCAGAAAATGTAGCCCTCATTGCTATCGGCATCAAAGAAATGCTCCTAAAACAAGGTTAAAAATAAATTAAGAAATGTAAGCATGGTTAGATGCCTGGTGAAAGGAACTATAAGATGAAAATACATCAAAACATTATTAATTTATCAACAAATTTAAAAAACAAATGTTGAGCTTAACACAGTCCTGAATTGTCATTTTCAAGAATGTTAATTGCTCCCTTGCTCTTTTAACTGCTCATTAAAATACAGTGGTATGAAAAGGTTTGGGCACCCCTGATCATTTTCAAGATTTTTCTTTATGTATCATTGGTTGTTCGGAACAGCAATTTCAATTAAATATATCATATAGCAAACAAACACAGTGATATTTAAGAAGTGAAATGAAGTTCATAGGATTTACAGAAAGCGCGCAATAATTACTTAAACAAAAGTAGGCAGGTGCATAAATTTGGGCACCCTTGTTGTTTTCTTGATTTGAATACCTTTTTGGTATTATTATTGGAAGACCAAAAATGTTTTGGTAAGATCATTGACCCTTGACCTACATACACAGGTGAAGCTAATCATGAGAAAGGGTATTTAAGGTGGCCAGTTGCAAGTTGTTCTCCCCTTTGCATCTTCTCTGAAGACTGGCAACATGAGAGCCTCAAAACAACTGTCAAATGACCTGAAAACAAAGATTGTTTAACACCATGGTTTAGGGGAAGGATACAAAAAGCTAGCTCAGAGATTTCAGCTGTCAGTTTTCACTGTGAGGAACATAGTGAGGAAATGGAAGACCACAGGCACAGTTCTAGTTAAGGCCCGTAGTGGCAGTCCAAGAAAAATTATCTTGTCAAAAAGCTACCCTCTTAGTTCCTTAGGGACATAAATGTCCTCTATAAACAACTGCTCTAAATATATATTAGACAGATATTTCACAAAAATCTGGTGAACGCTTTGTTAAACTGCCAATAAAGGTATTAATAATCAAAGAAAAAATACAAAATTTTGTACTTTTGAAAAGAACTGAGGTTGACTGAAAGATCTATGTCTATCTGATATACATTTAGAGCTTTAATTTTATAGAGGACATTTATGTCCTTAAGGGCCTAAGAGGGTGCCTTTTTGGGTATTATTATTTTATGTAAATTTGTTTACATGAAATTAAGTTTCCTGGACAAAAATCATGCCATTTGAGGTCATACAGTGAAAGCTATGGCCAAAAAAATGAGTGATTTTTTTTAAGGTGCAGCCAAGTCATACCTCCCCTTCTGCATTTTTTGAATCTTTGAAATTAGCATTCTGACCCATTAAAGAAGTGCTAAAAAGCCAAAAGCCAATCCTGCCCAACTGAATCTAATAATTTTTGTGTAGTTAAGTCAATTTCAATGGTCACATGATAATACTGTAACCTTGCAAAGTACAATTTGATCACATGACCGCTTACCAGTGACTGAAAGTGTCAACAATCGTCCACAGGATGTCTGTTTTTTCCTCCAGAATGTCACTGAAGACCTCTTCATTGACCTCTGTTCCAGTGTCATCCAGTAAATATATGTCTTTTTCAGTGGGTATACTCAACTTCATTTTAGCTTTGAATACAGAGAAAAAAATTAAATGAAGTTTGGGCATTATTGTTCATCTTACTACCACCACAGACACAAGATAAAGTGGGAAAACAAGTGCATTGCCCAAAGACACAATATGGCTATGGTTTAGGCTACAAGAAGCAGACACATTAACTTACCCTCCTTAAGAAATTCCGAGTGTGGGGCTCCATTTAGTTTGACGTACTTCTTCTTTCCTTTGTACTGTACTTTGAACCGCATTGCTGTAGACCTTCCACAGCTATATACAAAAAAACAACAACATACAATTAGTGCACAGTTACCCACTAGCAACGTAAATTTGGGCGGGAGTCGGAAACTTTGAAGTAGCTTCGGTAAAGCTTGCCATCGGGATAGATTCGCTTATTTTAATAGAGCTCAAAAACGAATTCTGTTTTTCTTTGTCAAAAAACCTGCTTAACCGTACTAACATTACAAACACAATATTGATTCTGATAAATTAAACATTTGCAGTGAATTTCAGCTGATATAACAAGTTAACTAAACTACATTAAAACCATGTTTGCCACCTTAATGTCTAACCGTTAAGGTTTTTAGTTATTTACGGATTGAAACGTGAAAAAAATATTCCATGCATTATTTATTCACTTTAGTTTCTTAGCCTACCTGCAGCCCTACCAGGCTGTTGAAGCAGACGTCGGTTAGTGTCGTTGAGATGTGGGCTCAGAACATGTGACTGGATTCAACCAATGAGAGGGCGTGGAGCGCTGATGACAAAATCGAAACCACTCCTGGTGCGGCTGGGAAAGACTCAATCAAGAAATAAACTCTCGGGGAGTCTATCATTAAATAAAATAAACACTACAATAACTCTACACTAACACGGCATAGAAAGAACACCAGAGAGAGATTATGGTGCAACCTGAAAAGTGTACTTTGTGCCCATTTACACCAAAGTGTAAAATTTTCTACTCTCGTCATCAAAACTCTGGGATTTTAACACTCTGGCATTTGCTTGTATTTTTTTAGAGGGCACCACGCTCATATTTATCGACAATTTTATGCTTAAATTCCATGGTCATCATGCGTTTCGCAAATATAGAGAAAATCACATAAATAACACAAACACAATACGGAAGACTCGCGAGAGAACTCGAATCTCGAAATACTCATATGTCTAGACACTCGTATCTTGAGGTTCCACTGTAAATCACAAAAATTAGTGTTGGCTAATATTAACATTTATGTCTAAATTTACTTTCAATGAATTGAAAAGATAAACAGAATTATGTTTTAAGAAATAATCTGCCCTGGTCTTCAAATAATCTGCCCTGGTGCGCGTGTGTGTAAAGTGTTTGGATGTCCTGATAGTCACAGTCTGTTAAAGATATATGGTCGTGATATGGCAGCTGGCCTGCCATCACTGAAATGAATGGTTTTTAGTGCAGTGGTTGACTGGGTTGCTGTAGTGATAAGTGGGTTGCCCTGGTGATAAGCGATATGCTGATGAACAGGAGAGGCTAGAAGAGGTCAGAGGCAAAAAAGTGTTGCTTCGTTAAAAAATCAGCCAGGATTTATCTGTGCTAACTGTTAATAGGTTCTCCATTTATTGGTTTTCTCCTCTTTCTCTTCTATCCTCACATTTTCTCACCTCTCCTCTTCTCTTTTCTTCTATGCTCTTCTCTCCTCTCCTTCCCTCACCTTTTCTGCTTGTCTTCTCATCAACAGTGACATTCACGAGACTCTGATTGAGTGCGATTGGTCATGCTGAGGTCACCTCATGGTCGGCTGGACCACACACACACACAGACACACAGTATTTCCAATTGCTGTTTTTTGTTTTTGCTTTTATGGAGGATGCAGACTCAGACTCCATCCAATCAATTTTGTATCCATGCAGCTGAAGACATGTACTTGTAATCAGTGTTACCATCGCAGTTTGTAAACCTTCTCTCTGTTCTGTTTGATTGGTTCTAAGTGTGCTTGAATGCAATGTGGTGTGTGTGTTTGCGAAAAAAAGAAAAGAAAAAAAGAGTCCTATTCAGGGTTTGTCTCTCGTCTCTGGTGGTTGTTAAGGGGCTGTGTGTTCCTGCTCTTCCACTCTTATTTTTGAGTTTGAAACGTGCTCTGTGTTTTAACAGAAGAGCCAAGAGTTGGTGGTGAATCTTAAGTTTCCTTACCCTAACCCTTTTCAATCCATCATTAAATCCTCCTCCTTCTCTGTTCTCCTCATCCTCATGTCCTCCTCCTACTTTTTTCCCCGCCTCCCTTTGGTTGTTTGTAGTGTTACCCACGGCAACACTTAGCCCACCCAAAGTGACGATAATGGAGGGAGACAACGTGCAGCTGACCTGTACCACAGCGGGAGTGCCCTCACCTGAACTGATATGGGACATGTCATTATTCACTAACTATGTGGTAAGATCACACACACACACACACACACACACACACACACACTTGTTTTCTGTTGTTTTCCCCTAAATCCAAACAGCAGCAGTTTAGACCTGCTGTCTTTAGTAGTTTCTGGTCTCCAAATGGTTTCTCCCTGTAGAAACATTCAGCTACTATGTCACCCATATACAAGTTAGTTTGTGCAGTAAAGCATGATGAAATTACAGTTCAGTTTATACCTGCAGCAACTCACTGGTTCCAATTTTTTGCACATTTATTGATTTATTAGCATAAACAACAAGCAGTTTTATTAGGCACACCGTCTTAATCTTAGTTCTTCATCAAGTCCTACTTTTCAGTCTTATTTATTGTCACAGTGTTTAAAATGGTCTTGGGCACAGAACATAAACAGCTGAAGATTGGGAAAATGGCATAATTAATAAGTGATGAAAAATCAGATGGTCAGAGTCTTGAGACTAGTCCAGTAGAAGATGCATGGCTGGAGCACTTTGCAGAACTGTAGGCAGGCTTAACTTGGCAGGCGCTAGAGACTCTAACCTAGGGACAGAGTATGGTATAAACAGACGGGGATTGTGACGCAAAAGAACGAAAAAACAAAAACAAAAAACAAACAGACAAAGTGTTTGTTGGCAAATATAAGGTCTTGTTAATTGGGTACTACTGAGTAGATTCAATACAAGTCCCAAGAAAAGAAAAGAAAAACATGAAAATGTCCTAATTTGGTAAATCACTCAAACTTTTAACTTTTAAACTACAACCTTTTTTGTAACTTACCAAAACATATTTATTTTTTCTTTTGTTTTTGTGGGGCAGTAAAACAATACTGTAATGTGATTAAAGGTTAGCTGTTAGCTGTTAATTATTACAAATTAATTATATTAATTAATTATAACTAATCGTAATTAATCATGATCACAATTAATCGTGAACGATCACCAATATTGACAGTATTCAACATTCCTAAATATGATAAAACCTTGTCATGTGGTATAATACATTGCTAAAGTACATAGTACAAATTTTGTATTTGTGACCAATCTAAAAAAAAAAATCCAAAATATAATTGGTGGATATGAGTTACTGCTGTGCATCTTGTAGAGCAGTTGCTTTAAAAACTTCAGTGATTGTCATAGCAAAATGAATCAGTCTACTGTCCCATGTACAGTGCACTTTTCCTTGTGCTAAATACGCATGGTAGAACGTTATGTCAATTAATCTTCACAAATTAATAAACACATAACCAACATTAATGAAGGTTCAGATACGTCGCATCTTAGAAGAAGTGCCATCTTCTTTGGTGTTAGGGTTGTTTTTGGGAATAGTTTTGGCTGTTTAGTTCAGGGATCACCGACCTGAGAGCTATGTACTTCAATGGCACTTAGTAATACGAAGAGCTACTTGTTTGATACAGACTTCCCGAACAAAGTAATAATAATCAGTTCTGGGACGTACAATAGTAGAGACTCCTCTTACCATTGTCATTGGGATCATTTGAATATCATTACAGGTGTAACTGATTCAAACAGCACAGTAACAATACAATCTTTGACCCTTTTGTTGACTAGTTTTTAGTAGTAGTAGTCCACGGGCACCACATTGGTGACCCCTGGTTTAGTTAGACCTGAAGCAGGAAAACACTGATTGTCATAGACTGACTGCTCATCTCTGATTGGTCGTTTGTGCGTTTGTGTTTCAACAACCTCAGATTGAGACATCCGGCCAGATTTCAGTCCTGCGACTTTCCAATCTGTCATCCTCGGACCACAACAGCAAGATCAGCTGCATAGCAGAGAACATTGTGGGAGACAGAGAAACCTCTCTGTTGCTGGACATACTGTGTAGGTTTTACTGCGTCAGAGATAAATGGCATGCTCTTTAAACAGTTCGTTATCACATTTTCATGCTCGTGTTTTCTTTCCCACTCAGTTCCTCCTAAAATCACCAAGTTGAGCGATGCCATCTCAGACCATCACTGGTGCATCCCCTTCAGCGTGTCAGGTAAGAGAGGCATTAAGATGATAAAGTCCCATTAATTTCTACTAATTGGACATGCTCAGTACGAAGTGTGTCACAGCGTGTGTTGAAATACAGCAATTAGTACGGAAACAAAGCACAGTGACTGACGGTGAACGCGACCTTGAGGAGAAACGCCCTTCTCTTCTGTCTCCCGTATTCCAGGGAACCCTCAGCCAGAACTGCAGTGGTATCGGAACGATGTGGAAGTGACAGAGGGGCAGTACATTATGACCATGATCCATGACATCACAGAGAGGGAGTACCACGGTTGTCTGCAGTTGGACAGTCCCACACACATTAACAACGGCAGGTACAGGCTGGTGGCTAAAAATAGATATGGCACTGACAAAAAGGAGGTGGATGCACACTTCATGGGGGAGCCATGGGGTAAAGGTGAGTTCTAACACAATTTCACACAAAATAGATTCCCATACATTATAGCCCACGTGTACACATTTCTGCTAGAAATGTTAAGACCAGACACTAAATGTAGAGCTTATTTAAGTTAACATTTTCTAATGTTGTTTAATGCTTATTTCTAATCATATTAACACTTCATTTTACAGCATGTATATACATTGTGCATAACCCATAGTAGTCTTAGTTATAAAGTCATGTATACAAGAAACAAAAAGGTTTAAATTATTTTGATGCTTTTAATGATGCTTTAAATCAGTGGATTAAAGTTAAAAGTTAGACTTTAAGCTGTTCCATTTAGACTCAGCCAAAAAACATTCTCAATACACTGAAGGGACACAGACTGTAACCAGTTATAGACAGAAAATGTATCTAAAGTCCAGAAATGAGTGAGAACTATTATCAAAAACACTCAAAACTCAAAACATCCTGCAATGAGTACCTCTAAGAAATACGTTCTCTCTAGAGCAGGGTTGAACTCATTTTGGTTCACAGGCCACCATCAACTTAATTAAATGTCAAGTCGGCCGGACCAGTACATTCATAATATGCAAACAAGTACAAGTATATTAGATATTTATTATCACATATTAATATTTAATGAAATATAATGATAACAAACATTAAGTGTTTTTATTATTTATTTTCAAAATTCATCAAGCGGGCCGGATTGGACATCCTTGCGGGCAGACTTTAGCCCGCAGGTTGTATGTTGGACACCCCACTCTAGATGCTCATAAAGTGTGTTATTTACTTATTATTTATTGGTTATTATAATTATGAATGAATGTTTGAGAGCTTCACCAATGAAATTTAGATAGCCATGGCTTGGGAGACTGCAAAAGGTTTTGTCAAAAGTTTCTCCATAAACTGTTTAAAAGCTTTTGCTTTCTATTTTGCATGGAAGTAATTGGAAATATCTCAAAACAACAGAATTACTACAGTCTTCACCCAGTGTACACAAACAGTAATACAGTTTTTTTTTTTTTTTATTGTGATCATTAGGTTTTGGAACTGAGCCCTACTACTACGGTGAGTGAGATAAACGACAACTGATCAATTATTTGGAATCAAATAGACACTGATGATAACCTGATATGGTACAGAGGTGTGATGCTCTGACCAGTGTGTTTTTGCTAATAATTTTTTTCTTGTGTAAAAGCTAATTATTTGTTGTTTCTTTCTCCAAAATCTCCCCCTACCTGCAGATGTGAGCACAGGTACAACCTTTATTTGTCTTTTATACTCACTGACAGATTAATCCATTGAGAATTCATTGGTTTTCTGTCAGTACTAGTTGATGTCAGTACTAGTTGACATTTTTTACACAAAAATGTGCCAAACCTTTAGTGATTTAGTGTTATTACTGTCTCTCTGTTCGACGTACACTGTTAGACACTGAGGATATGAGAGATCAGGTGTTCATTTGGTTCCGGGCCACAGAAGGGCACATTGAAAACATGTACTTCAGTTTACTTCATTCAAAAAGAATCCAGTTATATCTCTTTACTTTTTTCATTCAAAGATAATCTATTAATGTTTCAAAACAACAGGTCATTCAGACTATGATACTGACAGAATACAACATCTTTCAGACTAGATGTTTTATTTTGAAAATTTAATGATACTGCAACGAGGGCGCAATATTATCGGTCTGCATACTGGCCGACCGGACCTTGGTACAAAACACGGTTGGAGACTGCCGTGATAGATGATTAAGTATCAAAGACCTCTGGCCTTTGAATTGTATGTAAACAACACACCATATATAATCAATTTATGGCTTGTTTGTTCTGGTCAGTATTTCTCTATGAAACACATTGTGTTATGTTACATATGCTATTCTGATCTTATCAAATCATACTTCACTGGTTCAGTGTCTCTTCTCCTCTGATAATCTCTGCTCTGTGTCTGTTAGATGGTCCTCCAAGTGAACCACCTGAGGACAGAGTTGCAGTAAGTCGTGCTTCACACTTATTTTACATCAGCTATAATTGTAATTGAACAAGTGTGAAAAGGCAGCCTGAGGTTGTTTTTTTGTTTGTTTGTTTATTTTAACCTACACTTTCCGTTTACATCCTGCAGGTGTACGTGGTTGTAGGTATCGCTGCTGTAGCCTTCGCAGGTTTCCTCCTGATGTTGGTTATTCTCAAGTTCGGAGGGAACTCCAAATTTGGCATCAAAGGTAAGAATGGAAACTTTGATATTAATCCTGCAGAGCCACCATTTGTCCGATTTTGTTTTTACTTGTACTTTAAAGTCTATGTGAAGTGGAATATGTAAAGGCTGCTGTGTTAGCTCAAGTAACATTATTCGCATGTACCTTCTACCTCACCTTATTGTCCTAGTCTAACCCTGTCTGCTCTCTTGCTTTGGGAAGACTGAGTGATGGAAAGTTTCCGTGCACTTTGCATGAATGTTGTTTGTTGTATATTTGATTTGAAGGTCAACATGGAAGGATTCATGGATATTAGCAAACTAAAATATTTATCCCTTTTTCAGCTACTAGAGAAAAGTTAAAATGTGTAATAAGAGAAATCATAGGAAGCCTTGAGATGCTACACATTACAGTAATCAGCAGATAGGTACTATAACCATTTTTATAAAATATATGATACATATATAAATAAATAATTTACGAAAAAGCATAGTCTAAAACAATAGTGTCAAACATATATACCTCGCTGGCCCAAGCCCCCACCGGGCCAACATTACACATACACACAGATAAATATACAAACACAATGTCTCCTGTTTACCTAATCTTATTCTGGCATCAGACTAACCAGGTAGAAACAGCTTTACCTCATTACTCTGTGAACTTACACCCGCCACTGACCAACTCACATTTAAATCTATTTCTCTTATTCTTTGTCAATTGTTTGAATGATTTTCAATGGTCACATTCAGTCGATAGCTTGAGAACTGTGAGTCTTTTCCTCTCGTTTCCTGTGCTGTCTTTTCACAATGAGACATTGAGCCATGTGAAAAAAAATTAGCAGAGGAGACGAGTAAATAAAAAATAAATTAATTACAGAGGGAACAGGATGTACTGATAGCCTCTAACAAGTCTTTGGCACTTGGGATCAATGAAGGGGAGGTATCGGAGCTGAGGCTCTGCCGATAATGGTGCTTGATGACCTGGTGAGACTGATGCAGCTTATTTAGGCTTTCATTAGTGGGACGTGAATGTATACCTGTGAGTAGAGAAGACAAAACAGTGCAGCTGATAATAACACCATGATTTTAGTATGTGACACGGAACATTTTGTTGCAGAGAAAAAGTGCTTCATTGGACGTGAATGTGTTTGCAGGTGTAACCGGCAACTTTGCTGTGTGTCGTACGCATGTCACCTCTCAGTGACGTTGAATGTATAAGGTTCACTGCATGATCAGAACAAATCACTGCTGCAACCATAATTTAATGTTGATTAATTGATTGAATTAATTGATTGAAATTGATAGAACTTACTAATGTCATAACACAACGCTGTGAGCACACAACAGTATACTAGGAGTAAAACAACAGAATACATGGCTCAGCACCGGGGTGTTTGGTTGGACCAGAGTTGTACCAAAGCCAGGGATCGAGAACCACAAGTGGTTAGAGTAGCCAAAAATTGTACTTTAATAAAAGTACTTTTACGTCAGAATAATATTCCTCAAGTAGAAGTAAAAAGAAGTCATTCAAATAATTACTTGAGTAAGAGTAAAAAAGTAATTGGTGAAAAACTCGAGGACAAGAACACGTTCCTATTGTTCAATACAAATAGACCATCTGTGACCAGAACAGCACAGAAAGCCATTGATCGGAACAGTCACCTCCTCTCCCCGCTCTGTGTCACCGTCATACTTAAATGTCTGCTACCATTTTCTCCACAAGCTTCTTATGTGATAAAAACCTATTGTAGCCTTTGAAAGAGCTGTGCATTTTACTTACAAACCTCATTCACAATTTGAAGTGTAGTTGGCATGTCTACGGTCCAGACAGTGAATTCAGGGAGAAAGCCGTCACGAGTGTTGGCATATATGAATCTCAATTAATATTGAATTACATTTGGAATACATGTAAAGAAGTGAGGCATCCTTAATTGATGAATACCCAGAAGAGGTAGTATTTCACTTCACCAGGGAGGACTAGATCTGTTTACGTCCAATGTTCTCAGCTCAGATTTGATTTAGTAGAAAATTTGGACGAACAAATGCAGACGTAAAGATTAAATTTGTGAACGTTTGATGTGTGTGGGTCTGTATGTGAGTTTGTGTGTGTGTGTATGGAGGTGCCATATTTTTTTGGAGGGATTGATTTATTGCCCCTGTGAGAGGGTGAGTTGATGACAGATGGAGTAGCTACAGTACTATATACAATGTCTGTGTGTGTATGTGTGTGTGTGTGTATGTGGGTGGTCTCCTATCTCTTCAGACGTAAATGACTTTTCTCCACTGGAAATAATGCATCTTATTGCTCTCTGTTCCCACTATGTCTTGACCTACTTACAATTGTGTATGTTTGTTTTGGTTCAGCACATGTCTGCATCATATTACATTTTAGTCCTTCTGAATCCCCAGCTCTGTTTCACCATCTCACTGACAGCATCTCTCTCTCTCTCTCTCTCTCTCTCCATGTGCAAATAAGTCCAGATGTATGTGCCTAGCATGTTGACGTGGGGCGAGTGTTGAAAGACACTGAGAGATAATGGCGTCACTATAGACTGCAGAGTCAAATAGAGAGTTCAGGTTGCTGTGACTAAAACAACAGCAACAGCAGCAGCAGTAGTAGCAGTACTGCACACAACCACAGTGTTAATTTGACCATCCTCCCTCCAACCTCCACAGTATGCGGTGACAACGATGACTCATAAAAACAGTAATTGAACATCAGCTGCAGTTTTAAACTTCCTGAAAAAGGCAACAACAAATACAATGACAGAGTGCTACTTTGTGGCACTGTAAACAAACAAACAAACAAAGAAATGTGTTTCACATAAAAAGATATTTCAGTGTATTGCAGGTAGATATATCATATTGCACATTAAAGCCTTTTTGGAAAAAACAAAAACAAATGTTTCATTATCTTTAAGAAAAAAAAAGTTGTTTCCGTTGTTGTCAACAAAAGGTGCCAAACTCATGGTCATGGATTTTTTGAAAATGTGACATCATTTCTACGTATAAATGTTGTGATCTTATCTTTTATGTTCATTTGTTGAATGAGTTAAATGTCAAACATGCAAAATTGTAATCACTAACATTAAAGAGAGAAATAGAAAGAGAGAGACAGAGAGAGAGAAAGGAGGGAACTTGGCTGAAGCTCCAAATATTCCAGGAGAATATCTGCAAACACAGCAGACTTGTGTTTATTTTCTACTCTAGTTAAGACATTTTTTGCAAGGAAAAGTGAGGCTGTCTGGGTTCAATAACATTAGATACTTTTGACCCAAAGCTGCAGGGACTCTGTGCTTGATTTAACTCCTGTGGCATCACAGAGTCCAGCCTCTCCGAGCCGTTATTAGCTGGATGGTGGCTGGAGGTGCAACAGACCGAGACACAGAGTTTGGAGGCCACACATTAGATTTGTGCTGTAATGTAACAGTTGTGCTATCTGAAAGAGCAGGAGTTTCACATAGATACAGAGGGTGTTCTTAAAAGGCTTTCTTTTAACTTCTGATCACAGACAGTGAGGATGTTTCAGAGAAGGAAAAAACAACAAAACAAAACTAAACCTCCTGGACTTAAGACGCAGTTAATGTCAATCTGTGTCTAACAACTTGATCCAACATAGTTGCCGGCACTCAATCAATATTTATACCTACTGCATTAATCTATGCTCGTCTCATCAATAACACAGGGGCAGCATCTGGTACAGGTTACCTCCACACAAACACATTGCCGCTTCTGCACCCACACCCATTGTGTTAAAACAACTTCACACTTTACTTTCCTTGATAATTGTCAGTA